AATAAAATCTTTAAAAAATATTGATTTATTAAAAATTATGTATATGACTGTTTGCATGAATATGAAGCCTCTATGTGCATGAAGTGGAGTTAGAGACAGTTGTCCGCCACTTTATACATTCTCAGAACCAAACCCAGGTCCTTGGCAAGAGCCACAAGTGCTCTTAACCACTGAGCCACATTTCTAGTACTGTTTATTTGTTTCTAAATACCACCCCCCCACCAGCCCGGGGATGGGGTGGGGTGGTAGTGGTGGTGACAACAGCAGTGGTGGTGCACACCTTTAATCCCAGCACTCTGGAGACAGAGGCAGGCGGGTCTCTGTGAGCCTGGTCTCCTGAGCAAGTTCCAGGACAGACTCCAAAGCTACAGAGAAACCCTGTCTCAAAACAAACAAACAAAATACAAAGTTCTCAAAATACCAGCCCCCTCCCAAAACCTAGTCAGCCAACTAAACAAGCAACATCAGGCCATTTAGATTGTACCTTAATTAAGAAAAAAAATGAACTTTGAACTGGTTTACATCACTGATTTCTTAGATTTCTTATCTGTTACTCCTGTCCTACGGCATACACACATTTACACAGCTACTCTCCCAAGATGAGTACACTCAGCCCACATGAATCAGCAAACACTGAAACGGCACAGAGTCCTTGTAGTGTGCTCACATAAACTCTTTCAACACACGACTTGTAGCATCTCCCTGTCCAACACACACACCTCCCGCTGCTCCCCATGCACCATTGTGATCAAAGATGTGCTTTGTCTGTATCATCTTTGCTCAGGTCAACTCACACTGCTATCATCCTCTTTGCACCAAGCTCAGGGCTTCGGTGAATATTTGAGCAGGCTCATGTTGTACAAGCAGCCTTCTATTGACACTCTGGGCTGCTGGAGCCGGGAGATGAGTGTAGAGTCTGGTGAGAAGCCTGCTCAACCAGGTGTCTGAAGTAACGGGTCCTTTGATGAAAGGACTCAGTTAATGGATGGTAGAAACAGGGAGAGAGCGGGAGATAGGTTGACAGGCACCAACAGCTGTGGGAATGTGTGAGAAGCAGAGGCAAAGATGGAGAGTGGACTTAAATGGCAACACTGTTTGCTGGGAGAGGAGTTGGAGAAGGAGGCTCAGGCAGAAGTAAGAAGCTCAGTATGAGCCCCCTGCATTGCAAATGGGAGGGGAAAGCCAGAGGACAGCAAGAGCAGCCATACAGGAGGAAGCTAGAAGCAGAGTTGAGGAACACAAAGACAGTGAAATGACATACTGGGCATCCAGAAATATCTCCAGTCTGTGTGCTTCTGGCTCCTCTGAAGTAGATGCTCTGGATTTTCTTCAGAGCCTGTAAGTCTCTGTTGTGGAATATTATTTTAAGATGTGTTAGATTCATTTATGCTGTGGAATATTTGTTTAACGATGCAAAGATGTGCTGCATTCTTTCTTTCTTTTTTTTTTCTTTTGGTTTTTTGAGACAGGGTTTCTCCTAACTGTCCTGGAACTCGCTCTGTAGGCCAAGCTGGCCTTGAACTCACAGAGATCTGCCTGCCTCTGCCTCCTGAGTGGTGGGATCAAAGACATGTGCCACCACTGCTTGGCCTGTGCTGCATTCTTTTATGTTACATTTGTTTAACTCTGTGAAGCTGTGTTACTTTGCCTGTCTAAAACACCTGGTTGGTCTAATAAAGAGCTAAACGGCCAATAGCAAAGCAGGAGAAAGGATGGTGGGGGGCTGGCAGGTAGAGAGAATTAATAGAAGTAGAAATCTGGGAAGAGAAGATTGAGGAACAAGAGAGGAAAGGGAGAGGAGGACGGACGACAGGGGCCAGCCACCCAGCTACCTAGAAAGCCTCACAGTAAGAAGTAAAGAAAGATATATAGAACAGAGGAAGATACAAGCCCAGAGGCAAAAGGTAGACGGATAATTTAAGAAAAGCTGGCTAGAAATAAGCCAAGCTAAGACTGGGCATTCATAAAAAAGAATAAGCCTCTGTATATGATTATTTGGGAGCTGGGTGGTGGGTCCCCCAAAATAGCTTAGAGTAAAACAACAAACAAGCCGGACGTTGGTGGCGCACACCTTTAATCCCAGCACTCGAGAGGCAGAGCAGGCGGATCTCTGTGAGTTCAAGGCCAGCCTGGGCTACTGAGCAAGTGCCAGGATAGGCTCCAAAGTTATACAGAGCAACCCTGTCTCAAAAAACCAAAACCAAACAAACAAACAAAACAACTATAAGTCTCTCTCCTTTTCCAAAGTGTGAAGGGACTGAGTCTCCTGGGCAGGGATCTAGGCTGGAGGGTGTCAGACCCACATCCTCATCAAAAAGGCACTCCTCCTGGCTTCCCCAGTTTTCTATTTTGATTTAAATGAGGATACTGCAGGCCTTCCTCTGTAGATGAAAGTTTCTGTCCGGCCAGGTCCCCCAGCTGTTTAATCCCAAATAAACACACAGAGGCTTATATTAATTATAAACTGTTTTGTGGATGGCTCAGGCTTCTTAGTGGCTATTTCTCTCTTAATTATTAGCCCATTTCTGTTAATCTGTGTATCTCCATGTGGTGTTAGATTACTGGTAATGCTCGGGTCTGTTTCTTCCGTGGCAGCTACAAGTCATCACTCTCACAACTCATGCTTTCTGTTCCTCTTCTCAGAATTCTCCTAGTCTGGTATCCCCGCCTATACGTCTTGCCTGGCTACATCCTGCCTGTCCATTGGCCAAAACAGCTTTATTCATCAACCAGTAAGAGAAACATATTCACAGCATACAGAAGGACGCCCCTCATCCTTCCTCTCCTCTTCTACCCCTCACGTGGTTATTATTGAAACTACGATTATAATTTAAGGATTTTAAAAATATGCATGTGGGTGTTTTTCCGGCATGCATGTCTGTATACCACTTGCATGCCTGCTGCGTAAGGAAGTGGAAAGCGTCAGTTTCCCTAGAACTGGAGTTATAGACTGTGTGAGCCGCTATATGGTGCTGGAAATACAACCCTGGTCCTCTGGAGGAGTAGCCAGTGCTCTTAACTGCTGAGCTGTCTCTGTAGTGCAATGATTTTTAACTAAGGTTAAATTATTTAAATATTTGGAGGCTCACCAAGTGCGGGGTACAGGACACTAACCCTTTCCCCCTGCTTTCTCCTCACTTCAAAACTGAAAGAAAAAGCCTATCAGGAAAAGCAAGCTAATTACTGGAGAACCCTGGCAGGAGAGCCACGTCCTAAGTTCTTACCTCACCCTGTTTCTCTTCTCCCCATTTTCCCACAAAGGTCCCTGCTTCAAAATGCCCTCTTTGGGCCCCGAGGCCGTCGCCAGTCATTCCTGCCGTCTCCTTTTCAAAAGATTATTATTTTATTTTAAATTATCTATGTGTCTGTAGATGGGTGTACGTGAGTGTGGGTACCTTCAGGGATCAGAGGCGTTGGGTCCCCCAGAGCTAGTATTGCAGGTGGTTGCTGGGAGTCTGTTGAGGGATCTTAAACCAAACCTGGGCTCTCTGCAAGAGCAGTACATGTACTCTTTTGGGGTGGGGGTGTTTGTTTTGTTTTGTTTTGTTTTGTTTGAGACATGATTTCTCTGTGTAGCCTTTGCTGTCCTAGAACTCAATCTGTACATCAGGCTGGTCTTGAACTCAGAGAGATCCACCTGCCTGTGCATCCTGATTGCTGGGATTAAAGGTGTGTGCCACCACCGCCAAGCAAAGTGACACAATCACAGGCCTTCACACTCTCTTACCCAACAGTCTGCTTCTTGACGCAGGTGTCATCTACTGGTATCATAAAGACCAGACACCCGACACTTGTTCCGGCATGCACCCACAACCACCAATGCTTCTCAACTCCTTCAAAGCAGCCCTCACAGGCAGATACATCACTGTGAGTTCAAGGACAGCCAGGAATACACAGTGAGACCCTGTCTATAAGGCAACAAGAAGGAAAAGGAAAGAAAGAAAGAAAGAAAGAAAGAAAGAAAGAAAAGGTGTAAGTGCTAAGATAGGACTTTGATGGATGTAACTTGGTGCTATGGTAGAGTACTTTTTCAGCATGTGTGAAGCTCTGGGTTTTAGTGTGTGTGTGTGTGTGTGTGTGTGTGTGTGTGTGT